GCTTCTTCCTCAGTATTTACTCATTGTGCATCAATGAAGATAAACTTGAAGCAGAAAGCTGAGTTGCTACGTAATCTGTGAAGTTGACTAAACTCTGTTACAACAGGATTTTACTCCAGAGATTCCTGAGTGCTTATAGGTCTTGAGAAGTGAATCCATCGCATTTCTTTTTGCTGCGTTATCAAATGTTAGAGAAAGACACCAAAAAGTTTCGAATGCAACAATCCACTCTTTAAATTTGTTGGAAATTGGAATATGTAGATTGCAGACTGAGTATGTTTTTGGTTCTATGTACCAAATTTTCTGCGCTGTTTTGGCTCCAGTATTTGAAACTACTTGTTGATATGAATTCTTGCGACTCGGATTTGACTCCCGACTGAATTGCGGCGAGCAGTCACGAAGACGTGCGGAGACCTGAGCAGAGAGAACAACACGTACTTCGTGAATCCCGGCGGACATCCGTCCGGTGTTCACCAGTGTCAGGCCACCGTCCGTCGATTCTCCCGGGAAGTGTGCCAGTTCCGACTGGAATTCCTCCGGTTCGAGATCGCCGGGCCGGAGCGGTCGACGCTGGGTCGAGTGGGAGACTGCAGCCAGGATATGTTCGTCGCCACCGGAGGATCCACCACTCCCGTCGTCTGCGGTGCCAACACCGGACAACACAGTCAGTCCATCCTCGTTTCACTCGTTTCGTATCCATTCCGAGGTCGTCGAATGAGCCGGGCGAGCCCAGCGCAGTTGTGGGCTCCCCGGCAGCACAATACATTGGGCCCACGTTGGTTGCGAGTGGGAGAAAGTGGGCCCACATCGCAGTGGGCTTGGCGATGTTGGCCCCAAATTGGCGCAAGGCGGCAGTCAACATTTGTCATGACTCAGGATACGACATCTATCTCGGTTATTTGAACAAAAAGCTACTCACAGCATATGCGAGGTGGTGACGATGCGGCCGCTATTTCAGTGGGATCAGGGATTCATTAATTTAAGACCCCAGTACCTTTCTTTCGGTACTTGATCCATTTCCATAGAGAATGCAAAATTAAACACTCGAATTTCTCAGATCATTCGTTTAAACAGGTTAAGCAGCCCAAACAGACTCTTGTTAATGGTGGAGGAAGCATGATTCAAATTGGGGCTTCATTTGATATAGGGAGGAAAAAACTATTTACTTTTCTTCATAGTAATGGCTGCATCTGGTTCCCCTCGAGTAGGTTCAGGTGCGATGAAAGATATGGTCATCCGAGTCTTGCTGGACAAGCTCTCTTACATAGTGGATGAAGGGCCTAATGGGGCTCAAATCCTGTAATGGAAAGTGAAGGAAGTACTACTCCCTGGAGTACTTACAGTCAGACCGAGAGAGACTCAGTGGCCCAGGTCCTCGGTACGGGAGCTGAACGATTATGTACGAAAATTCAATCTCAATCGAAACCTCCTTTAATCCTCAGAATGTCATGGCGCACCTCGGCATTTGACGTAGGCCCAACGTGGGGCAGCTGGACGAGCCTACGAGGGACCAACGTTGGGAACCAACGTTGGGTCCACATCGCAAATGTTGAATTCCAGCATAGGCTCAACGTTGGCCCTACGTAGGTGTCCTGCATTGAAACCCTACCAGCCAAGTATTGAAGTTTAACAAAAATAAGACGGCTATGCTGGTGAACGAGATGCGGTGAGTACTAAAAGGCATGCCTTTGTCACAGGTTCGGTGTGTGCTTACTGTTTTTCTGCTTTTTACTGTTTCTCTTCGGAGGCTGGCAACTTATTATTATATGATACCGATTCCTGTGCAATAAGATTAGGGGAAGTAAGTGGTAGCGGGTGATTCGGACCCAGGCGGTCTCGATCTCACTGTTCCACGGCCTTAGTATTTGATAACAAGGAAGGATTCAGGAGTCAGTCACTATACACCCTGAGCCTTTTAATCACTGATTATTATAACATCAACAGAGTAGTTTAACAATATTAAGAATCATGTAAATATGGAGACAATGCACTTCTCACGTCCTGGTGTGTATTGAAGGAAGTCAGGACGAGTATGCCCCTCAAGAAGGGAAGGCTTGTCTCTAGAAGGCGCGTAGTGCTCGTCTTCTGCACAACTGTTCTGGAGGTCCGCCCGGTCTGGAATCCTCAGACACAACTGTCCTGTGTAACTGTCTGGTGTGGAATCCCCAGACACAACTTCTCCGTGTAACTGTCTGGCGTGGAATCCCCCTCTAGTGCGGCTTCAGACCCCTTTTAAAGCTGGTTCATGCCCTCGGGCTTATTTCAAGCCCATCACATCTTGACAAACCCTTCGACAGGAAAAGAGGTCTGGACCGTCACTTGATCGACGTTCTCTCAAATGATATAAACTCCTTTCTTTCCTTTTCGATGCTGCATGCCCCTTCATCTTGACGATTTGTGTCGTCATTCCTTACAATGAACAAAAAAAAAGGCCTAAAAGCCTAAAGAGCAAAAGCCTCCCGCACCCTTCCATGGTTGTGGAACGGTACGGGACGCAAGAATCCGGAGACTCCCCGAATTCATTACCTTGGCCAGGACATGATTTGAGGAAGAAGGAAGAGTGGGTTATTTTAGGCTTTTAGAAATATGGAGACCAGTTTAATGATTCTTCATTGTGACCTTGTCTGAGCCAAGATCGGCCCAACGTGGCTCATCCGTGACAGGTTTGGCAAGGTGAGGATTTCATCCTCTCATCGAACCGATCCGAGTGAGTCTTCAAAACGAGGAGCGGCGATTTATTGTAAGCCTTCCTTGAAATCCCATTTGCGAGTATCAAATAGCATCTCTCGAGGAGAATGAAGAAACACGATCGTAGTGATATGCTCCAAACTAGCTAAATGCAAAATTATTCGAAAGCTGGCATAATTTAGACGACATATAGGCCTACTACACCGATGTTTTCTAGCGAAGCGATCGAAAACACAAACGCGGAAGGAGGCAGGAGGTGAGAAAACGGGGGGAGGGGGGGAGTGCATCTCCCCAAGGCCAGAAGAGAAACTTGTTCGAGGTCATGGCTTTTGGAAATGCTTTTCGTTAGAGCAAAGCCTGGGAGAAGGAGGGGGAAGAGGATCGGCTCACCTCGCCTTGGGGCCATCCCCTTAAATGCACACACGCGCAGAGCGCATAAGATTGAGGGGCGAGGAGAAGCTATGCGACATGTATGAAACATTTTTACCCTAGCTCTCCTCTACCACATTTCAGGGAGAAGGAGACAAGGGGGGGGAAGGGGGGGGGGGAAGACAAGATATTCTTGGCGCATTCAATTGTGGCCATAGTCATGACTTGAAGTTCACTGTACAAGAATCGCACAAGGGTTGCAAGTGACACTTGGAGTCACGATCCGGGTCACAACTGGATGCACCCATAGTGCTTTTTCGACTTTAGTTTTTGCAATTTGCAATTACCTAGAGCAGTACGCCTAGTTCACCTATTCGTCTTCTGGTGAGCATTTATTTCAATATGATGTCAGTCGGATTCCAGTAAGATAAACTAGTGACAAGTATATACTGTACATCCATCCATCCATTTACTGTACAGGGTGGCCCAAAAAGGTACACTTTTCAATGTACATTTTAGGGGTGATGCTTTCAAATAAATTTTTGCCTGTTGCACGTAAATGAAAGAAGAAAGACTTAGCTACAAAATGCTTTTCTCAGACTTGATATATCTTAAACGGTGACTTAGAAAAAAAAAAGATTGAAATTCAGTATTAAAAAAAAAGGACGTTGCGCTCACCGACTCGACACAACATCCCCTTGACGGACTGACATTCACGAGAAGGGGAAGGGAAACGCTGACCTCAGCAGACGTTGCGAGAAATGATTGGTCGTTGAGCGCAAAGCCAATTTTTCGTAACCGAATTACAGTAGTTTTTTTCTAAGCCACCTTTAAAGATATATCAAGTATACGCTTTCAAGGAAAATTTTGCCAGTCATATTTAATGGAAAGAAGAAAGACAGCTACAAAATGCTTTTCTGAAACTTGATATATCTTTAAAGGTGGCTTAGAAAAAAATTACTGTAATTCGGTTACGAAAAATTGGCTTTGCGCTCAACGACCAATCATTTCTCGCAACATCTGCTGAGGTCAGCGTTTCCCTTCCCCTTCTCGTGAATGTCAGCCCGTCAAGGGGATGTTGTGTCGAGTCGGTGAGCGCAACGTCCTTTTTTTTTTAATACTGAATTTCAATCATTTTTTTTTCTAAGTCACCGTTTAAGATATGTCAAGTCTGAGAAAACCATTTTGTAGCTAAGTCTTTCTTCTTTCCATTAAATATGACTGGCAAAATTTTCCTTGAAAGCGTCACACCTAAAATGCGCATTGAAAAGTGTACCTTTTTTTTGGACCACCCTGTATATCCATAGGCTTCCCACCTAACCGTTCGGGGAAAGCGTGAACCGAAACAATGATTTAAACTAGAAGTTGTTTCTAACCTCAAAGAAAAAGTTATCCATCTAACACTCGAACAGTTCCTGAGAATGGCGATATTTGTTCCTCTGTCAACGTTGCCGAGACGTATGTAATGATTTGTTATTTATGGTATGCTTTTGACACGAACTTGACCTAATCGAGCTCAGTCTGAACCACGCCGACATGGGTCCGCTTACCAAGTTTCACCGCGATCAAGATCATATATTTCTAATGTCATCATCACACACCGAAGTGAGAAGACGCACGCTGGCAGTAAATGACCTCTTTTTGGTTAGAAGACCAAGGAAAAAAATATATAAAACCAGGGTCATCACCCACCTCAATCGATCATTTAAAAACGGGAGGAAATGAAGTATCTCCGAAAATACTCCACCCCCAAAATAGTTAATTCCTGTGAATTTTGTACCTACGATTGCATCAACTTGGACGAAGAAAAGAATTGCTCCATTGATCTTTAGTGTACGTGAATCTGGGTTCAACTTCGGATTCTGTGGTTCTCACCATGATTACCTCCAGCGCGAATCCACAATGGGCCATCCGAGTCATCCAGATACCTTGCAGCGCTAATTATGCAGGTCAGTCGAAATCCTCCTTCATTCTTACACTATGAAGTGCAATGGTGACAAACAAACTTGGAGCCACTTGGCAGAGACCCTGTCATGGACATCACACAGAGTCTCTGGCAAGTGGTCGGTTAAGTTTGACCGTCCTCTCCATACGTCAGGAAAATGGACATAAATTTGTCATTTGTATGATTGAACAAATATGATTGTATGATTGAAAGAGAGGCTATAGCCTCTTTTCAATCATACAAATACGAGAACGCGCTAAAACTGGACTAATACATTAGTCCAGTTCGATATTAGTACTTATGCTGACAGCAACAATTATGATTTCTCGGCTACAATAAGTACACAATTTACTATATTTTATGTTAAAATTTAATCAACGACGTTTTTAACTGCTTAAAGCACTCGGAAAGAAGAGCCGCGAAGACCACGTCGACTGCTTGCCTTCGCTTACGGATTTTTGAACTTATAGCTCCAACTGGATGCCTTCAGTATTACACTGGGGTGTCGGGGCGAGTGAAGAGCTTCAATTATGACGGAGGGAACCGGCATTTGAATCGACAGAGGTATTCCATCTGCGTTCGAACGGAGGTCGGCTTCTGTGGGATCACGTGGGAACAAGTGACAGTGGATCCTCAGACCGTCCTCTCGACCCCAAACTTCGGCAACCCTGGTCTCCAATCCGGCACCACTGTCATTCCCAACAGCTTCCAGATCAGCGCCACTTTCAGCAGCGGCACTTCTCAGGGACCGCAAGTCGGTGAGTCTCTCTCGGTTCTCTCTCCCCCTTTAGTATATCGTCCTCGGTCGTGTCAGCATTCTTGCAATCTCGTCCAGTTAGTCAAAATCATAAATGCTTCAAGATCGTGAGGGTGCTCAGCTCATGGATTGATAGAATTTGAATCGAAACTATGAAATACAAATGAAGTTCGAGTAAACATTCCACTTCACTTTTCCCTCAGCCGCGCCTCATCGAGACTCTTACAGCCGTGTGCACAGATATTATTTATAATTAGTGTAAAAACTCCTTGCGCGCACGGGGTGAAATAAGTGGAATCGGTGCATTTTGTGCACGCCTTTCAGCTCTCTCTTCGTCAATTTCATTGGTCCTGGAAGCAGCCTGTGAAGCAGCATTTCGGGCAGTTCTGCTCTTTCATCGACTTACTCCTCGGTGGATCGTGCCTCGGAATGGTTTAAACTTCCCCGCCTTTTCATGGCATTTCGAGAGCAACACCAAAAATAGTAACATAGAGCACCAAATGAATGCTGCAGACTTACGCGAAGCACTATGGTTAACCGGTGACACGACGAAACCCAAAGGATCATTGCCAGCAGCTGCCATAGCAGCAACGTCCGTAGCCGACAATGCTCTCATTGTTGGTTGTGAGTACTTCGCACGGTAAGACATTCGGTACAATGCTATTCTCACTGTCGAAATTTTGCATAATTACGCTAAAATTATTTTTAAAATTATGGACTTCTGACCCTATAAGTATTGTCTCCAGGTCATAAGCTGTCGAGCGACACCCATAGTAGTCAAGTAAGATACACCGAAGGAATTGGAAACTCCCAGGAATCAGATAGAAAAGGGGGATTTGCTTCCATTATCAGACTCCAAATCTCCCTTATAAAACAATTTTCAATGAATTCTGTCGCATTGCATACTGAAGAGACTCAACTTTTGAATTTCAAACAGACGTGCTTTCAATCGATAATAGTGGATGCGTTCCAATCATTAGGGCAACTTCAATCGCTTGCATGCAAATTTTCTGCGAGTTCCGCTTGGTAGACTTCAAGCGAGACTCATCGTTCTAATTTCGAACCCCTGGATATTGGATGAAGAAAAGGAGATGATTTAGAGCTTTACCGGGATGCGAATCGGCTCGGGCTATTCTTGAACTCGAATAAATCCCCAAGCTCCGTGATGCACTTCCAATAGATGTTTCCGTTCCGTCAAATACTCGTCCCACATCAGCAGCCGTCCTTGCCTTTCGTGGCCTCCAAGCATACAAATCCCGGCGATTTCGTCGATACAGACGGGAAGCTCTTTTTTCAAAATGCTCCCAATCTCTTTGCACTTGTCGTTGAGTGATTAGAAGTTGGGCAGACGACGTAAAGCCCTCGCCACTTTGCCAGGGAATGACCTTATAACGGGATAATTAGCCACTACTGTATAAACAGTTGAATGCCTTTATCGGACATCTCACATGCTGAATATAAAAACGTTGCATGAAAAAAAAAACTTCTGAAGTACAGGGTGGCCCATTTAAGTATATTCAATTTTGTTTGGCTCTAGCTTGTGTACATTTTTTTATTATTACCAATTTCAATAATATTTCAACACAAATTAATGCATACCTTAGAATTTTATTTGACAAATTTTCATTGAGTTCTGCCATGAGTTTTTTGAGAAATTAAATTTTTACTGTAACTTGAAACTTTTCCATTCACTCAGTGAATTCTGACACGGAGCTTTTGAAAAATTCGAATTTTTATTGTGCCTCGCATGTTGAGCATTCGTGCATGTTACTGGTACTGTTTATTAAGCTCATTGTCTGTTTAAATTTTGCCATTTTTCTCGTTTTTTGATATCATTTTCGGTTAATTAACAAAGGTTCCTGCTTGGTACGAATGGACAAAAAGTCCCGGAATTGTTGAGTGAAAGTTTCGTGCGGAATACGGTCGAGGTCCGCCAATTCGTATGAGCATTTTCAAGTGGCACAATGCTTTAAGGTTTTTCGGTATGCACCACTCGACCGGCAGACATTCTGGAATTGAAGCGGCGTATATTGAATGCTTTTGGCGAAATCACTGTTGAAATGAGGCAAAAAACGTTGTTGGAGTACCGTGAGCGTCTTGAGCACATTCTTGAAGATGGTGGTTTTCACGTTGAAGTGCATAACTCGTGAACAGCATTTCCAAATATTGTGAAAATTGGTCAAATAAAATTCTAAAGTCTGCAATATTTTGTGCTAAAATATTAGTGAAATTGGTAAAAAAAATTTGCACAAGCTAGAGCCAAACAAAGTTGTATATACTTAAATGGGCCACCCTGTAAAACACGTGTTGCCATTGTTGGGCTGAAGTGAATCACATGGAAATTGAAAACAAAAAGCTTTTTAAGTTTTACATATGCCTATGCTAATCTTTAGCTTAATTGGTCCATTTTTAAGGCTAAAAATGAGTATCTGTTTTACACACATTTTAGAACACCCAGAAACTTCTTCCTGTTCTTTTTTTTCTCAAACAGTTATAAATCAATGTATTTAGGATACAGATGCAAAATTACTGCTGTATCGTGCGAAGACGTAGAATACTGGGTCAATTGTGTGTCAATTGGAAGAACCACAGGCATCGAGTCGAAAAAATTATTTTTCTATCAATTGACAAAGCGATTGGTGATCGCTGGGATAAATAATCAGTACAATGAGCTGCATTGCAATGGAGAAAATATTGAATGTTACACAAGAGAAATACTTCCTTGATACAACTATATAGATGGCACAGAAATTCAACACACTGGCCTGATTACCAGGAGTCTTATTATACTTTTCCAGGTTCCGACGTGACCCCAGAAGGTTCGGGAACGGGTCGTGGTCTTTGCAGCGGAGCAAAAGGTCAGACGGATTTCATTTCCATTCCATGCGGCTCTAAAGATGGGAAACCGTTTTCCATGGATCCTCTCAATCCCACTTCCACTCTTGCCTTCCCCTGTGCCGATAAGTTTTGTGGAACTCTCTTCGGGTACGCCAGTGGCACTTTCAGTCCCCAAAGCGTCACCAGTGAGCTCCATATTCTTCCCTTCTTAATTGCATTATCTATGTTCTCTCGTTTCTTCTTCAGTACTTCATTCCAACACTTGCTATGTTTTGGGAATGGCGAATACAGGCTTGTTCCCGATCATTTTTTGTGTGGCTACTTTGACCTCTTGATTTAGTCAAGAGTGTTACTAGACTCTCTTAATCGGAAGGGAGAAGAAATGCAATCGATCGGGTGAGATGCGAACGTGCGATGAAAATGTGGAAATATCCTGAACCTCAATGCAGGTCGAGTACAACCGTTCATCCTTGGAGTGAATTTCGACGAGAGAGAAGAGGTGATGGTGGAAGCGACAGGGACGACTCCAGCGGTCTTCGAACCAGGCATCGGATTCCATCTTCAATACTACCAAGTCTCGTGCCTCAATTAAATCATTTCAAGTACCTCTTTCCTGGAAAGCATTACTCCCTTTCCTTTTGGGTTGTGAATACAAAAGATACAAACACACTATTCCATTTCCTGATGCTTTCGTACTTTTAAATTTAAATATTCAGCTAAACATCATTCCTGGGCAGCAAAAATCTTTGTACGTGCATCTTCTCCCGAAATGGACATTTGTACTGAATAAAAATCTTTGTTCAACGTAAGTAGTTACTGTTCATACTGCTCAGTTCCCAGGACGCGACAGAGTTATCGTGTACTCTTTTTTTTGTTGCTGACTTCTGGATATACTACAATATCAGTAGTGTCTCTAGAGCAGGGGCAAGGCCCTCCAGAGTGGCTTGGTGCGTGAAGGCATTTTTCACACGCCGTGGAAGTAACTGCGCTATAAAAGGCCGTGACTGCACTCACTCCATTCATTCCCTATCGAGCTCTTGAGAAGGTTGGACTTTTTTTCTGGCTATAACCCTCGCTCTGCCTGCGCCGCAGGCACTAGACACTCTGACAATCTATTTCTCGTTATCCGTTTCTGTTCTCTTGTTTTGTTTCTCCTCGTTGCGTTTTTCTTTTCTCTCGTCTACTTGCTGCTTCTCTTGAAAGCAAGAGAATAAATGGGCAGAAGCAGCGGACAATCTTGCATTGTATCCAGCTGCAAAAATGCATGGAGGAACGCGAATCATGATCCTCCCATCACCTTCCATGGAGTTCCAGAAAAATGAAATAGTTCGAGGGGAATGGCTGTCGGCTTGTGACCGAACAGATTTACAGAATGAAGCAATTAGCTTTGTTTGCTCGAATCATTTTCTCTTCACTGATTATGATGGGAATCAAAAGAACAAGGTTCTAAAGAAATAATCTGTTCCACTATGTCTCACTGCACCTCTGCACCTTGAGCAAGGTCAAGTTCACATTGAGAGGCCAGTAAAGGGGGAAAGTAAATCTTAATTGCAAGCAACAGGCCACTCAGTTCCATCGAATTGCTCCTCTGAAATAAAAGAGAAATTGAGACTTAAAATCAGGATTATTTCAGGACTGAAATCAAAATTACAGCGACTCAGGACAGAAAACCTGAAACTTAAAAAGGAAGCGAACATTTTTCAAATTAAATTTGTTGAATTGTCCATGTCACAAGTGAAGAAATTGAATGTGCAAATTTGGTTGAAGGACACTTCTCTACCGTTCAATTACAAGTACTCAAGGGAGGTAAGAGGCCGAAGAGATGGGATCACAGCGAATTGGTGCAGGCTTTGCGCCTCAAAGCTTTCCCCTCCCCCCAAGCTTTCACGTAGGTTCGCGAATAACTCAAAGTCCCACTTCCTGCGTTAACCACCTTGGCTACCTGGTTCAGCAAACTCATAAAATGTGTTCCGGGACTTCAGCATGAAGTCCTCAATCTTATGGCGCATCAAGGTCATATCATGGATGATTTCGGAAAACTGCGTCCTGAGTTTCGATTAAATGAAAATTGATTCGAGACTCTGTTATGACGCATCATCCGAAAAATCAAAGGAGCTGCAATGAACCTCTAGCGTGCCCGCATTCTATGGAAGCGAGCCGAAGGCAGGTCCCATCCCCGCATGGTCTCACTTCACGCACATGCACGTGCCTCCAGTAACTGCGCTCCCTCCTCCGCCGTCAGGCGCGTGAGCCACTCGGGTCTATCTGGTTATTCTATGTATCTTGGAGCAGGGGTGGGCAAACTACGTCCCGCGACAGCATTTCGACCAGCCCACCAGCTGTTGCCGTGCAGAAACGAAATGCGGCCTGCGATGACAGGTCTGATACCCCTCCCAGCACGACTATTTGGACTCTTCCAAGGATCAAATAATCAAATATACGGACTGTCCAGTTTGCAGTGCAATGAAGCGAACAGCTCCTTCATGCTGTTGCCACATGTAGGAAAATTCCCTCCGGGATATAGAGGAAAAATTATACCTAACAGCCATAACCAGCAGGAAAAACCATCTTGCTCTCTGATAAAAATACCAATTGTTTGCTAGGCAGGCTCGATCGAGCAAACAATCGACAGTATTGCCCTGGCTCATATTCGTCCGTGCGTCTGAACTAGTTGTTTCGTTGTGATTTGTATTCCAGACTTTCGTGACATTTCGAATATATTTACCGTTGCAATATGAGTGACTCCGAAAAGAGTAAAGTCGACAATGGATGTTGAATCTTCAATAATGAGTGGACGACGAAATATTTCTTCACGGAAGTGGATACGAATGCGGTTTGCATGTTTTGCCACCAGGGCGTCGCAGTTTTCAAGGAGTACAATGGCGCGTCGCAGCGAAGAGATTGATGCAGACTCGGCAGCACAGTTACGCAAGAAAGCAGATTCTTTCGTGAGGTACTCTATGGCGCTGGATGATAGCATAGACAACTCAGTTACTCGTTTTCGTAAGAGGCATCAATGACACGTTTGAAATCACAGATGAATTGCTGTTTATGGAATCTCAAAAACAGGACAAGATCTGATCAGTCTTTCATCTTCAGTCTTTCGATGCAGTTCTCCACACTTTCAAGTGTGGTGAACTGCATCGAAAGACTGAAGTTGCCTCAGGAAAATTCGACTAGTGTCACAACGGACGGGTCTCCCAACTTAACTGGTTAAAACGTTGAAATATTGAAAAGAATTGAAGAGAAAGTCAGAGACGACTCCAGACCATACTTCCTACTTCTTCATTGCATCAGCCACCTTGAGGTGCTTTGTAAAATTGTTCCGAATTTGAAGCATGCTGTAAGCACAGTCGTTAAGCTTGTCAATTTCATTCGAGAGAGGGGGCAATTCATTGTTCTGCTTGAAGATATCGTTGCGAAGCACGCCGATATTGCGTACCACACCAATTTCTGTTGGCCTAGTTTAGGAAAAGCGAAGAAGAGAGCATGGGAGCTGAAGGAAGGAATCACCATATTTTTGGAAATGAAGAGTAAAGATGAAGATTTCCCAAAATTCAAGACACATATTGGCTCTCTGGCTTTGCCTTTGCCGTGGACGTTATGGAGTATTTAAACGACTTGAATCTGAAACTGCAAGGCAAGGGAGTGTTCGTGCAGAAACTCTACTCAACTGTTAAAAACGTTCCAAGTCGAGCTACTCCCGTTTTCGAGACGTAAAGGACAGCGTGTTTTCGCATTTCCCCAATTTGCATAGTATCGCCGTGTCCTTCAATACGACTGACTAGTACAACAAGATGTTGAGTGATTTACGTGAGTTTTGCCGTCGGTTTTTCGACTATAAGAACATCGAGAAGGAGCTCGAGCCGAGCCCATTAACCTTGACTCTATGAAAGCTCCAGACGAACTTCAACTGGAACTGATCGACTTACAATGCGACTTACCTCACGAGGAAAAGTTCAACTCTGGTATAACTCATCACTGAATGAAACAAAATCCTCTAACTTGCGAGAACATGCCAAGACAATGCTGGTGCTCTTCGGTTCCACTTATGTTCGCGAGCAAACGTTCTCGTCGAACAACAACAAATCAAAGTTGAGGATAAAAATGACTGGCCAACATTTGAGTGCAGTGCTGCTAATCTCCGTATCAGAAATGACACCTGACATCGAAAAACTCATTGAAAACAATCTGTGGGCAGATGCACGTGTCCCACTGAGATGTTAATGAGTTTAATTTAATTTTAATTTTGAGTATTCGGTGCTTCTGTGGCCCGCGAGGCTTTAGTGTTTTGTCATGAGGCCCGCATGTTAAAAAGTTTGCCCACCTCTGACCTAGGGATTACTATCGATAAAGAACTAAAGTTCTCCTCGCACGCGCAAGCGACGGTACCTAAATGTAACAGGATCCTAGGTTTCATCCGACGGCCCATAGCCAGTAAGAGCTCGCACGTGATTCTTCCGCTGTATGCGGCGCTAGGAGAACAGAAGTATGGCACATGGAACATGCGAAACAAAATGCTGCTTCACGAAATATATGAAAAGTATGATATTATCAGTTTAGAGCTCCAACATAGAGATCAACGTCACCACGTAAGGGTATGGGGTGGAAGGGCGAGGGTTCTTGGCCCTCTCTATGCCCAGCCCCCCCCCCCCCCCCAGGGAGAAGGATCAATCCCTAACGTTCAAAATGACGCCGAAACGGAAGGCATTTTTCCCTTTCTAAAGTAAAACTGAGGGTGGTATCCATTATTGCTTCACATATTCAGTCACGTTTTGGCGCCCCTGGTGAATTTGCGTCCTGTGCGGGGCACATGTGTAACATGCCTAAGGCCGGCCCTGACAGAGCTACCCACTGGCTCCTGGAACGGTTCCGTTAATGTTATGTCAGGGGCATTAAAACTTTGCTCCAACCCCAATGCTTTTTAGTCAGAAATTTTTAGTTAGAAGTCGGCGCCTATGCCACACTTAGAGTATTGCGTACACTTTTGGAGGCCAACTAATAAAAACGATTTAACGGAGCTCGAGATGGTACAGAGGAGGGGTACAAACATGATCAAGGAGGTTGGGGGCTGCCGTATGAAAAGTGAATAGAAGTGTGGGGCTGTTCTCGCTCCAAAGAAGGTTAACGAGGGGGGATGTCATCCAGGCTTTTAAAATCATAAAGGGAATTGATAACGTAGAGCAGGGGTGTCAAACTGGCCCGCCCGTCCATTTTGTCCGGCCCGCGAAGTCCTCTTCAACAGTTGGTTATGGAAAAGAACTGCAAATATCAGCCTGTTTGCATTAAAGATAAGGTGTTACATTTTTGTTGTGGCCCCTAATCACCCCTGAAGGCTTCCATCCGAACCCCAAACTAATCGAGTTTGACACCCCTGACGTAGAGCGTGGGAGACTCTTCCAAATTGATGGCAGTTGTAGAACGAAAAATAACCGACTTAAACTGCGTAAACCGCAAGTGAGTCTCAGGTCGCGTCAGACTTGCAGAGTGGTGAATGCGTGGAATGAGTTGAGCGACGATGTAGTGGTTGTCCCTTCCGTGGCTACCTTTAAGAGGTTAGATGCCTTCATGAACAAATAAAAGGTAGCAATAGATGTAAGCGAATAGGCACTGGGTCGGATATTTATTAGGTGACTAGGCCTAGATATGCTCCAAAATAGGAATATAAAATCTCTCTTTAGGAAGGGTGGTCTATCTTAGGGTAAGGAACGCTCAACCTCGAAAAGGGATGCGCACGATGGGCAGAACTGCCTTTTCGCTTACCTATATCTTGAATCTTGAGCATCATGTTGATGCTCATGGTGATGTTAAATGGGGAAGCGTCGAAGGAGGTCGGAGTCGCAAGCGGTGTCCCTCAAGGCTCGGTCCTTGGACCGCTTCTGTTTTTGGTCTACATAAACGATTTGGATTTCGGCGTAGAGGGTAAGATAAGTAAATTTGCCGACGACACCAAAATAGGTTTTACCGTAAGGGGGGAGGCGGATAGGGCTAGAGCCGAGCGAGATTTAAGTCTGTTGGATGAGTGGAGCAAGAAATGGCTCATGAGGCTTAATAAAAGTAAGTGTAAAGTTCTCCACGTCGGTCGAAACAACGGTAGGTCTCTCGACACGTTCGGCGATGTTAAATTGGATGAGGCAACGGGAGAGAGAGATTTAGGAGTTTCTATCGACGAGGACCTCAAGTCTTCCTCGCACGCACAAGCGACGGTGCAACAGGATTCTAGGTTACATTCGTCGTTCGGTTGCAAGTAGGACATCGCGCGTTATTCTTCCGTTGTATTCGGCGCTGATAAGACCCCAGTTGGAATATTGCATCCAGTTTTGGAGGCCTACAAATGAGGGCGATTTGCTGGCGCTCGAGGGAGTACAGAGGAGGGCCACAAGAATGATAAGGAGGTCAGGGGACTATCATACGAGAAGCGTTTAGAAGTGTTGGGACTGTTCTCGCTCGAGCGAAGCTTAAGGAGTGGCGATCTCATCTAGACTTTCAAGATAATTAAAGGAATAGATAATGTCGAGTGTAGTAGATTTTTCCAGTTTGATGGCAGCAAGAGAACGAGAGGTAACCAACTTAAGTTGCGCAAACCGCAGGTGCGGCTCAGGTCGAGACAGGAATTCTTTACTTGCAGAGTGGTGAACGCGTGGAATGCGTTAGATGACGAAGTCGTGGCTGCCCCTTCTGTGACTATCTTTAAGAAGAAACTGGATGCTTTCATGGACAGGCAAAAAGGTGGGGGGCAATGTTGACGTTAGGTACTAGACAGTAAGCAACTAGGATAGTCAAGTAAAAAAAAAAAATACAAAAATATGTAGCTTTAAGAGGGTTAGGCCTACCCTAAAATTAAGGAACGCTCGACCTCGACACGTGATATCGAAATGGGCGAAATCGCCTCTTGATATCACTAACTCTCCTGACTCCTGATCTTGAAGAGGTATAAAAAAAAGCGAGCGACGCAAGACACCTTGAAACTGCGCATTTCCTCATAGCACAGGCGCAGTGACCATAATCATGGCGCTCTCCTCGCCCCTACAGTGAGCCCAGTCTTCTGCTATATTCTTCACGCACTAGGAGTCAGGCTTTGTATGTACGCTGGAATTACGCTGTACGCTTTGGTATCAGCGCACCAGAATGTGAACGTTGATGGTCGTGTAATTTCCGAGGCCAATACAATTTGGTAGCTATGAATTACTTTCTGTCAGTAGTCATTGGGCTTCTTTGGGCTCCTACATGGGCTACTGTCAAACTTCCTCAGTTTTGAAGTACAATAGGTTTTTCAGGAGTTGAGCTATTCTTTTTTTTTCAAATGTTTGGTCTACGTAACCTACCTGATTTAGAGCCTGGAGACAGGCCACGGTTTAGATAAATGATCACTGGTGGCCGTCTTGCCCTAATGCCTTATTCTTTTGATACCTTGCTTGTCAAAGCTGTCTAGGCCTAAGTTAGATGTTTAACTATTTTTTTTTCAGGTTTAAAACAAACTGGTGCAAGCCATTAATTTTTGTTATTGTTGCAAGATTGAGGGTCTGAATCTGTTTGCCCACATTTAAAAATACATTGAAAGTGCATGAGCAGTAGTATTTTGATTAATTTTGGAGGCCAGTATATGGAGGTGAGCTAACGGCGCTTGAGAGGGTCCAGAGGTGGGCATAGAGAATGATCTGTGAGGTAAGTGGACTACCATATGAGATGTATTAAGAAGCATTGGGATGGTGCATGTTTGTGAGAAGGTTGACAAGGAGGGAGCCTCATCCAGGCATTTAAGATCATTAAGGGAATTGGTAATGTAGAGCATGGTAGATTATTTCAGTTAGATGGTAGCAGCAGAATGAGAGGCAACCAACTTAACAGACTCACTGTCAAATAAATAATGCAACATATTCATGATTGTTAGGCTATGGCACTTGCATTCCCACTGGCAGTGAATGTGTTAAGTTGTGTAAACCCCAAGTGAAGTGCTTGTTGCAACAGGACTTCTTTACTTGTAGAGTAATGAGTGAGCAGAAAAAAGAGCAATGTAAGTGACAAGACATTAGGTGGATGTGCTCCAACAAAAATATCTATCTGTAAGAGAAGAAGGTCTATCATATGATAGTCAAACTCGGTCATCAAAGGGACTTGGGAAAAACCATTGTTATAACCGGGGTTGCCTTTATTGGCATTCTGTTTTCCTATTTTCAAAATTGATGCTGTATGTTACAACTCCAGTGTACATTGGTCATACTGCACCAGCTTCAGTTTCAAGATTGACCCATTAATCGTTATGATTGCACTTCTTTGAACCTTGAACTACTTCATACTTTAGCAAGGCTTTGTCGATGTCATCTCGTGCGATCTAGGAAGTTTCTTGTTTTGTGACATGTTCTCATAAGCACGGATGAAGACATCATGATTTTCCCAAATTGTGGAAACAGATGAATGGTTGTCCATGTTTGTGAACAATGTTAGCTTTACTTTGTGCACATTAAACTAATCAAGCACACTTTCCTTTGAATTTTGAAGGCTTGCCTCTTTTGTTTTCCATTGGCTATGTTGTCAACGAAAAAGGCAAATGGCGACTGAAGAAAAGGTGATCTTGGTTACTGGGGATTATCCCTCCCTAACATTGCTCCAGCCACTCCCTCATGACTCTCAAGGAATGCCAAATCCAGGAGATATAAAGTTATGGCTCGCCAACGCTCATTCTTCTGATGAAGGAAATTTCAGTTATGAATGACGGATTGGGGACACAAACGTTGATTTCATCAGTGGGACCTTAAATGGAATTTGTTATAACTGAGATTTCATTATAACTGAGCTCGCTATAACCAAGGTAAAATTTAACATGCCTTATGGGCTCTATGCCGGGACCTGGCACTTTTTGCTGTTATACCTGAAGGTTGTTATGACTGAGTTTGACTGTATTATATGATTATATGAGTGCTTGACCTTAACACTGGATGTGCTATTGGGCAGAAATGCCTCTTGACATTCCTACCTAAACCTTGAACCTGTGCCTATATCTATCTGTAATCCTAGGGAACCCACATTCCTGATGAATTTGCCTGGTTGTGTCCAACTGAAAGTGGTGATGAACTGAAAACATGGTCATGTTTGAAGTATGTTTCAAAACATGTACTGTGAGCTTAAGCATCTCTGCATCAACTTTGCGTTTTTGGGTCCTTGAGATCCTTGTGATATACATCTGTGTGTGCCATGCTGGAACATCTGTCGATCACCATAGCACTGGTAAGATTGTTTTTAATTATTGTGAGAGGCCCTGAGCCATTAGTTTAACATGTTTAATTTAAATTGAGCATGCCTGATGACTCTCTGGATCATTTGAAAGTGCAGTTGTGTGATGCAAATATAGCAGTTAGTGTACCCCATATGTTGGTACTTCACACCTTGCTCCCCTACTCTAGTTCTGAGATTTAAATTGCAACTGCATTGGATGGGTCTGACTCTCTGAAGATCCAATGTGCATGAGTTATGCTTATTCCTTGGAAGTCACATTTGGTAATGTGTCCATTTTTCCAATGTTCTTCATCTGGCATGTTGTTTCCAAGTGAAAAGATTATTGGTAATAATTTCCTGGAGAGGTCTGCCTTTCCAAGCATCACTAGTTTTAATTAATTGGTTTCATTTCTTTACATTTCACATTTTTGCAAACATTTTAAATATATATTTGGGAGAGGCATGAAGTTTAAGTAATGCAGGTACTGGATGAATTCTTGATCAGCTTGAAGAATATCTGTATGCCATCTTGAGATTTTCCAAGAGTGAGAGTGGCAGTTCCTCAATGGCACACTGGAGACATCTTAGGAAACTCATCCTCAGTCCCTCCCCCAGTTGAACCTTGCTCTTGTAGTTCTTTGTTAAGATGAGAATCTTTAACCCTCTATGTACCAACTATCGAAATCCTTTGCCAATTTTAATTTTCATTAGTAGCATCCTTATAGAATTGGGATCTCTTTTTGTAATTTTTTTGTCCTAAGTGCACAAACACTCTCCCAATTACATTGTTTCAGAAGTGCAACATTGGGCATGAAAAGAATGTCAAGGGCTCAAGCTCAAGAAGTTCAATGACTATTACTTTTGTGCCAACATTTTGAAATGCATCTCTATCTGATCTATCCTGTATGAAAGGTCTTAACTCTGCTTTCAGCCCAGAAAGTAATATGATGGAGGTCTGGGGTCCCTTTTGATCCCATTCTGTTTCTGATTACATTTGACTAGATGCTTGGTGACAGTGAGAGCCAGATAAGGTGATTATCATTTATGGGCAGTATAGAACCTATGTAAATAAAAAATATCCTAGTGAACCATGAAGCATCAATTACATCAATTGTGATAATTTCAGAATTTTTCATCCCATGGGGTCAAAATGGTCAAGCAAGCAGTTGGTCTTCAGCACACAGAACCCTGTCCCTCACAAAAAATCCACCCCCAGCTTCCAGCTGGTGGATTTGGAACCAGGTGGAAATTACTTGCTGGAATGATGTCCACTTGATTCTTAATCCACCCTTGGAGAAGCATCCACCATGTTCCAAAGATATGCAGGATAAATCTACCCAGCATAAATCTACCTGGACATCCCCCATAGTGCATTGAAGCTAGCTAAATCAACCTCCTATGCCCTTCTCATGCCTTCTCATCCACTTGCTGTTCACCCCAGTGAATATACATTTTGTCAGGTACACGTCACACTTTTTGCCCTTGAAGCCTGAAATGCCAGTGCACACTGAAATTATGTTGCATCCCTGTCATTGAGCTGCATATAAATATGAATCTTTAGACTGGAGGCATCCAAGGGGCCCCAAAAAAGGTCTCTGCAGGCCACAGTTTGTGCATCACTGGTCTAGATGATCAATTTATAAAGCATGTACCCCTGAGCTATGTTGCAGCTACACTTCTGCTTCATGGGAACATTCAGTTCATGTTCACTATCACTGTCAATATCACTGTTATTGTTAGCATATCATTAAGACTCAGCATTCTCTGAGCTTGAACCATTCCTTATGCTAGGAAGTGCCATATACAATCTGGGAAAAGCATGCACTCACAATATTCACCCTCACTCACCCAATGTTGCAAAGCTGCAACATCTGTTTACAGCACACAAGTTGTGGTACAATTGAAAGTGAGGGGAGAGAGACCCTAACAATAAAACTGAAGCAATTCTGCATAATCTAGTAATTCTTATGAGGTTCAAATTTCTCATCTTTATTGTGTATCATGCAAGTCAAATTGTAAAATCTCATGAAAGTGCACAAGATTGGAGGCTGCTTTGTGTGCAAGGCTATTTTGTTTTGCTAATGATTGCTATGTTTATTGAATGAAGGCAAAACAGCTTGAAAACTGAAATGGGGTGTGGTGCGGTTCTGCAGCATTGGGTGAATGCCAAAGGAAACTTTTCAAGTAGCTTCATGAGGTGGTTTCAGCATGCTGCAGATTTGCAGCCCTGATGTATATATTGTAAGAGACTTTTGTGTCATGGACCTATATTTTGGAAAAGTAAAACTTAAAAAATGCTGTACTTTCAGTTGTGACTTATCTACAAAGTACAAGATGCAAACCCTTTGGACTGCCTTGTTTTGCTGCTTTCCTTTTTCCTAAATCTGGATGAGGAAGGAGGGGAGCAGGGATGCTAATGTTATATGACCCTGGTACACATAAGAGGCTAACTTCAGTCACATGCTGAGCTGAGAAGGAAACCTAGTTATTCTAATGGCTGCATGCCCTTATATAATGTTTTTTAATAATGCATCTTATGGTTAAAAAATCAGGACTGCTCAGTTGTATTCCATGAAGTGAAGTATTCCACTAAGCATTATCTTAGTAAGTGAAGGTGACTTTTAGTATTTCACTAGGTAGAAGACCCTGTAGGTTTCTTTTCAGCCAGTGACATGAGGAGCATGAACTTGCCAAAATATCCTAGGTTAAGTAATTGCAACATGTTTTCCAGTAATGCTAAAACAACCCTTTGGTTGATCTTATTGTGCATTGGTTATAATTGCAGGGAAAGCTGCCTTTGGTCAAGTCCTTTATCATGATGGGGAGCTTGTGGTTGCGATTGATTTGCCTTTGACATCTACCACCATTGACTTGTATCTGCTACGAACGGAAAATGCTGCTGTCAATTGCTGTGAGACTGCTTGCCCATCAGCAAAAGATCAGCAATGCTGGGGCAAAGAAACTGAGAGACGCTACCCGGAAAATTCTCAAACAGCAAACCTCCAACAGCAGACAGTGAGTCCTCTTCGAATTATTCTTTCTAGCAAACATAGTTGCCATTGAAATTTAGGTATTTCTTCATTTGTACATGACTTTGTGCCATGCACACAGTTGGGGATGATGTTAGAGTTCATAATTGTGAATGAAATGGTTTTGAGTTTTGTGTGTGTCTATACTGCAGCCTATAACCATCACTTAGAAGTCACTTTAGAAGTGAGTGGTGTTCTCCCAGATGGGAGAGGGAGTCATCATGAGTGGCAACAGAACTCCCGCATTCAATGTGGAATTCACTGCCTGAAGTAACATCTAGCAGGAAGAATGTTCAGCAGACCTATTCACCCATGTGTATAAGATATGTCAAGAAGATACCTGAAGATACCTATTACTAGCCTTGTCATGCCTTTGGTGCTCCATTCCCTGCATAGTGATTCATTCAATAATTTATTTTCAAAGTGGGAAAAACATATTTAAAGTATCTGCCCATCGGAACGTGTATCGAGAGAGAACAAACCGATATTTTCATCAGAATAATTACTCCCAATGTTTCTTGTGTGCCTAACTTCAAATCTCTTCATAATCTGCCATGAGGGGTGATATTTGAAAAGCAGGACATGCACACAACAATGGAACAGGTACTTCTGCTCCAAGTTCCAACTTCCTTTAATTCTCTCCTTCATTGAATCAGAAAAGTTTCTGGAAAATGAACCTTTTGCAAAAAATATGCCCTCAAGGGTTTTACCTAAAAAAATAACATTTTTACTGGAATCAGTACTGATAGAACTACATGAATACCAAGTTTCAGCCTTATCCGATTGCTCTTTTTGCTGGTGCAAAAATATCTAGAAAAGCCGACACAGCCAAAAGCTGTACCCTGGAGGTATGCACCACAAAATCGGAATTTTTACCAAACTCACCATCAGCTCAGTTATTGCTGTGCTAAGTTTCACATTTCTGTATGATTCAGTGAATAAAAAAAAATGATTTGAAAATGACAACCCCCAAAAATATGCTCCCAGGGTATGTATCCAAATATTGACATTTTTCCTGAACTTAGAGTCTCAGTAGGTATGTCCATATCATGTTTCAGCTTCCCATGTTTATCCATTTGACTGTAGCAAAAAATACATTTGAAAACATCTCTCCCTGAAATTTGTGTCCCCAGGGCATTTACCTCCAAAGTCTGAATTTTTCTGAATTCAGGTTCCCAATAGGTACAACAGTGCACAGATGGCTATGCTGGGAACCAAGGGAATGTGCACTGTTGTGCTGCACGCTGTTCCTCCCATCAAATGAATATATCTCATGAGGCAATTGCATGTTAACCCATTGATGCCGGGAACCGTAATATTATGTTTTTAAGCCCATAGTGTTCTGGAGTTGCTGGGCATGAATGTGTTAATATCAAACTTAGTATCATTAGAAAGGGCATAAAACACACTTGGAATGAAGTATTGGAACCACGAGTTCCAACCATGGCAATTGTAAATATTGGCCCCTGAACCTAATCTAAACGTTTGATTTGAGTGGAAGTTCTTGTTTTAGCTTTGGAGAATAATGTCTTAAAACAATCTAAAGATGACAGTTTTGCAATTAAAATGACACCATAATGAAGCTTTTATCTCAAATAGAAGAGAAGATATTGCAAAAATAGCCTTGCAATTCCTGTCCACATAGTATACCTGCACGCCAAAAATAGGTGACACTCAAATGCATATATCTGAGATCTGAGTGAGTTAAAAAAAATCTCTGGAATTTATGTTCTTATAATCAATTCCTCTACATGCATACTGATTTTTGTCAAAAGCAAAGATGGTTGAGCTCATCCTCTGGTCGATTTGGTGTGGAGTGACCCAAGGTCAAGAAATGTTACGTTAATTATGACTCCTTTTTGGTCATTTCTTCCAAAGTATCTTTAGCCCCATGCTAATATTGTCCCAAACTGCTGAGGAGGAGCAGACGAATTAATTGATACTTATAATTAATTGATATATATGGCACCAAAAAAAATGTAGGTGACTTTTGAATCATCCTGTACATCATTGAAAACATCTCCCCCCAAAATGGGTACCCCCAGGGCATGTACCTCCAAAGTTGGATTTTTTCTGAACTCTGCTTCCCAAAAGGTATAAATGTACCAAGTTTCAGATTTCTAACTTTTCCAGAACATGGTTAGAATTAGCATCAGTCAGTCAGTCATGATCATATATATATATATATATATATATAGGTAAGGTAAGGTAAGGCAAAAAGGTTGACTTAATTAGCGAATACCCAAATGGGCGGTGAAAACCGCTCTCATTTGAGGTGTGCATATAGATTGAATTGAAGTTAAACAGTGTCGCCTTCCCTAGCAATAGCCACCCAAGGCAACAGCCAGGCTATGACCGGCTCCTAGCCCAGAAGAAGAGGACATATAGATCCATGCCCTGGGGGGCATATATTTGTGAGCCGACGTTTTCAAGTATTCTTTTTGTCCTGGCTTATTGAGCTAGTGTGGAAAGATGAAACTTGCTGCAGAAAACTTGAGACTTTAGAAATAAATGCCCTGTGGGCACAAGTTTCAAAGGGAGATGCTTTCAACTGATTATTTTGCATCAGTTAAACTGATGAACATGGAAAGCTGAAACTTTGCATGAATGTGACTACTGAGCCAAATGAAATGAATAAAATATCTTCACTAGAGACTTGTCTGAACCTGTCTGGACTTGTCTGTGGGTTATATATTGGATGCAAGATCAGTTTCATTTTTTTGTCACACCACATATACATTTACAGCTTTCATGGGGCATCCCCGCCGGGCATGGGTGCGTTGGCTTTTCCAAGCATGTTTTTTCACCAGCGAAAAGAGCAAACGTATAATATTGCAACTTTGTGGGCATGTAGTTCACCGGGCAGACATAGAAAAGTAGCTGGCACAAGCATCACTGACCTGATGTTGATTTAAGGAAAAATTCAACTTTTTTATATGTCTCCTAAGAGCAGAGCTTTTGGGTGGGTTGCTTTTCCAAATACATTTTTTCCGCCAGCAAAAAGGGGAAACGTATAAAGCTGAAATTGGGTGGCAAGGAGTTCCCTGCGTCTACATTTCAGAAAAAAGAAAATATTCTTTAAAACCCATCAGGGCACCTTTTTCAGTCCCATTTTCCTGATTTTTTTTTGATCCAACGAAACAGAGACAAAAAATTTAAACATCCCTCAGAAGTACCTCTTTGATGGCTGAGTAGAGGAAAATTTGTAATTTTGAAATATGTCTCCTTAGCGTAGATTATTGGAGGGAAGTATTTCAAAATGTATTCTCCACCATTGCAAAAAGGGACACAAGAAAAGATTTCAAGTTAGGCACACATGGAATCATAGAGGTAATGATTTTGATAAAAATCAAGACTTTCCACCCCATATGTCACATATTTCAATGGGAAGTACTTTAAAGACGTGTTTCTCATTTCGCAAAAAAATGAATGAATTAATCACTATCCAAGGTAATGGAGCGCCGAAGGCGCGACCATAGCTCGCTAGTATTAGATACAGTTGACACTCGATATTGCAGATTTTCCTCATAACAAATTTTTTAGCTTGTCCCTTCAAGTTTGTTTTATTGAGCATTGATTGTATCTTTATGGGGAGAATTAAAATATTGATTAATATCTGCCATCCAGAATTTTTCTTCATTGATGATTGACATCTACATTAGTGCATGAGGAATATCTGTTTTGCCCAATATCAATGCAATGTACTGGCTGAGGCCATCATCTATAGATGTTTTTGTCTGTGTTTTTGCTCATGTAGTTTTAGACCTACCTGGTGAAAATTGGGTGTCATAGACTCTCCCAGTTATTATAGATCAGTGGTGCCCAACCTTTTCAGCTTGGGGGCCACATAGTTCACTCCCACAGCCATCGTGGGCCAGTCACTAGTATTGTAGGAGACTATTTTAAGGAAACCTTAGGGTACTTATTGTGGGTTAGGGTCTCATGGGCCACATGTTAGCACCTCAAAGACCACTCTTAGCCTGTGGGCCACAGGTTGGACACCACTGTTATAGATCAATATTCCACACCATTCTCATGAAAAGGAGGCAAATAGCATTTGACACCTCCCAGGTGGGAGTGAGAATGTTAATTAGACTGGAATTTGCTGTCAGAGCTACACCTACAAAGGCAGGCACCATGACAGCCATAATAGCAGCAGGATTATACTCCACATAGGTGATATGCATGTAAGCCTCTGAATTAAGAGATATATGTTTGTCTTTTGAACTTGATAAACATCCCTCCCACATATGGCCATCACCTTTCAGGTATCTAGGTTCTTGGATTGTCAGTATGAATGTGATACATCTACAGGGTGTGTCTTTTAAAAATATGGAGTGAGCCAAAAGTCTCTGAATGACTTTAAACAGTGATAACTCAGCAAGGAATGCATTAATTTGCAAACTTTTTATGCATATGAAAGAGTGTGCTTTAATTGACTAAACAACATGGAAGTTTCCATGAAATGCTAATTAGAAACAGGATTAGTCTGAAAAGAATGAAAAGCAACATTTTTTAAACATAAAACAGAGATTTAGGGTACAATGAACCCAATTATTTTCATGGTTATGTTCTGCTATTTTTGCTGCTCCAAATGCTTGTATGATAATGCCCAATAAACATTCTTTGGAGGAGAACATCGCTGTTGTTCATTTGTGAAGTGAAGTGTAGTTTTGCTTTGAAGACAGGTGGATAGGTTGGCACGGGCATGTTGAGTGGCTACCTAGGTCATCGGACCCGACTTACTCGACTTCTGGCTGTGGGTTTTCATTAAAGACCAGGTATATGTAAAAAATCAGTGCATGAGCAATGCACTAAAGCAATGCATCAGTAAAGAATATTGCAGGAGTTGACTTCAACATGTGTGCAACCGTCTGCTATTTGATGACGGCATGCCTCTGCAGAGTGATCAAGCTTGATGGAGTTCAATATCATGGCTTGTCATTAGTCATTTTTATGCCAAATAAATTAATGATTTTTTTCCATCATTCCATGCAAGTGAATTAGCTTATGCTCTTTCCTATGCACAAAACTGTTTGCAAATGAATTACTTCCATGCCAAGTTATAGCTGTTCAAAGTCATTCAGTGACTTTTAACTCACCCTGTATGCTTGAATAAATTTCTATTTTATTAATTTGTTAAAGAAACAAGTCATAAATGTATATGTGGTGTGACAAAAAAATGAAACTGATCTTGCATCCAATATATAACCCACAGACAAGTCCAGACAGGTTCAGACAAGTCTCTAGTGAAGATATTTTATTCATTTCATTTGGCTCAGTCATTGAAGTGTGGTGTTGAAGAAGTCAGTGTTTAAGTGTTTTGCCATAAAAATGTCTGGCAGTTTCATTAAACAGTTAATCAACATCAAGTGTTGTGTCAAGTTTCCAGTTGTGTCAAAAATCTGTAGCTGTATGTTTTATCATGGAGTCCGATGAATTTGAAAAAGTTTGTTTGCTTCTTTTCGCTGTGACTTGGGAAATGCCAGGTGTACTAGCATTTTCGGTTTTTCAAGAATGTCTCAGGTACCGCTGGAGCTTCATGTAAAAATTATGTTGCAAAAAGGTATTTGGAATGTAAGCTTTTCAACTATACCAGTGATTTTTGCTTTTTTCCAAAGTATCTCAATTTTTTTTTTGCTCATAGTCTCCCCTTAACTTCTAAAAATTGTCATTGAAATTATAAAATTGCCAAGTCCATCAATAAATTTATGGTCACCTTGTATTGCAATAGCACTGACATGCATGGAATCTCTGGGAAGGGCATAAAGAGACTTTGGGAAAGAGCTATGAATCATTTCTATAGGTTAATTTGAAAATATGTTTTAAAAGGGAAGGGTGCTGTCAGGTTACCAAGCAGGCAATTTTTTCATGACTCTTTATCAAGAGATCTGAATGACTGCAGGAGAAAGTATTTTAGGGGTCATTGTTTCTCAGTTGATAGAGCACTAGCCCAATTTTATTCAAAATCAGAGAAAATGATATTTTATGGTGTTTTAATGAAATGGTATAGTCTAATTACAAGTTCTGAGACATTGATCACAAATGGCAAAGATTATGCTTTCTGTCTCCAGTCTTAAGCTACCCCTTCAATCATTTGCAGCTAAGTTTGATGTCTACTGATGGATTATTGATGACCTTGGGATGCTGCTTGTAGAGTGGTTTGTTCCTCCATTGCCCGTTGCTTTCTCATAATTCTGTGCAATGGTGTACCATGATGAGATAGAAGGAGATTAAGAAGCAGGTAGCTTTTGACTGGATGGAGTGTGATTTCTTGAGGATGTTGTGCACCCTTGAGTTGGAGAGAAGTCATCCCTGCTTCTTTTTGATAAACAAGCTTTCTACTCAGTTAATGGCCAGGAGTTTTGTGGGTGAACAATCTAAACCACCAGAGCCATTTCAGAAGATGGCCATTGATAGCCAAAATCTAATTTTTCCCTTTTGGCTTATGTGGCTTTCCCATAGTTTCAGTATGAATCAAACTCAACTCATGGAATCAGCTGTGAGCTTATGTTTGAGGTGTTTCAGGGCCATTTGACCTCTAATGGTGGGGCTGGGAGGTGACTCCCCCCCTTGTGTCTTGAAGTGACTTTTTAATATCTTCCTTTATTCCCTGTAATGTGATGCCTGAAAGTCAGCCTTTAGAGCTCTTATGTGGCATGTTTTTTTTATGGCTCCTTTTTTTTTTTTTTTACATTTTTGTGCTAAATCTTACTGGCATAATTGCATGAACTTATATTTGTTAAGTTGGAGAAGTCATAAGGGAACATACTCTCCTGGAATTGTTGTGGCATCCCTGTTGTCTGATTTAGCATCAGCAGGATCATGCCATGCCTTAGGAATGTTTGTGCCATGAGAGATTCCAGCTGTTTTGTATGATTTTCTTTGGCAATCTCATACAAAGCATTATCCCCTTGTTGGGCCATATTTTATAACTTTTTCACGTAATTATTACCTGAAAGGTCTTTGACAACTTGAGAGACAGGAAAGAAGGATACTCCCTGATCTTTCTCTGAAACTCATGGGAAGGGACTTCTTTGACAGAGACATTTTAGGAGCCCTTTTTTGTATATGATTCATGATCACCAAACTTCCTAATTGAAGAAAATGTATCCTACTCTATTACTACCAAAGTACATAGTTGATTCTGCTGTCTAAGGTCTAAGCTTGCAACTGCAAAAGTATACCTGGAGAGCTCAAAGCCAGCATGCTTTCATGAGCCCAGAGATGTGCTATCAAAACTTTCAGCTGTGTATGCTGGGATCTTGAAGCTAATTGACTTCTGCTTGTGGCAACGGCTCAATCAGAGAGATCATTTTCCACTATGAAGAGAGTAAAACTTATTTATTGTCTTGATGAAAGGCTGAGCGATTGCTATTTTTGGCAGCACTAAAAGTGGATATGAAGGAAATGGTTGATGGATTTGCCAAAATGAAAGTTCTTCACTACCTGTTGTTGCTGTAAATCCCATTGGTTTTGTGAGTATTAAAGAGTTTGTCTTTTAACCTAAACCAGAGAACTTCAATGAATCTGCTTTATGGCTCTTGAACTTTTGTTGGAGAGATTTCCTGCTGCTGATTGTAACCATGGATGTAGTTTCATTTGATTAAATACTATTTGCCAAATTATTTTTTTCAAGTTATATACCTTTGCCCCCTCCCCTTTGCAGTTTTACTAAGTGACATCCCTGACTTTTGTTTGATGTGAGCTTTTGGAATTCCACTTAGTTTTTGAAGAAATTTCCTGATGGGGATGGAAATTCCACAATGAACAGAGTTTTGTACTATTTGTTATTGGTTATTACTGTTCTGTTACTATTGCTCTTATTGGCCTTCAAACACTGAAATGTATCAGTTGATTTTATTTTTACTCTATTTTGTTCATCTGAGATTTTGGATTTAGTGTTCTAGGTGTTTACTTGCTGTGATTTTTTTTTTCATTTTCTAAAGTCATCAAATTCCATCTGATGAGTTGAATTGGTATGTCTCAAGATCAGTGTAAGAAAAAAAAATTTTTTCCTGCACACCTGAGGCAACAAATTGGAATTTCCCAGGAAGGATATGCAAGCGGACTAAGCGGGCTGCCTGCCCGCACGTCTACATTCCTGTGAACCTCGTTCACAGGTTCGCAAGGGTTTTCCTAGCCTGCTCAAGATGAGTGTGGTAGTGATGACCATCATCATCAACTCTTGGCATGATGTTCATGAATTAATACATAGGCACTGATTTGTTGAAAAAAAAACTGGGGGGTGAACCTAAGAGACTGTTTCAACTCAGCCAAGCAAAATATGGATGTAGACCAATCTCAACTACTTGGATGAGTGTTTCAGTTTGTGACATCAAACCAAAGAATGTGTTCCTTTTTCCATAGGGCATTCAAAAGCTTTCCTTGAGGAAGAACAATGATACTCAATATGTGTTTCTTTCTTATTTCCTAGTGGAGAGCTATCTTCCCTGGTGTTTCTTTTGGCCGTTACTGCCTGAAACTTCTTGAACACACCCAGGTCAGCACTTATGACCCCATTTACACAAAGATCTTTGATATTTCTTCACCCAGTATTGGCAGTCCTGTAGAAGAATGGAATGTGACATTTTTCATTGAACAAGTCTTCCTCAATTCAGAGAGGTGAGTCATTTTTTTATTATGCATTTCAGAAACTTGCTTGGTTTAACCCATTCACAGCTGCCTAGAGTTAGTGCATTAAATTCTGTTTGCTATGGGAAATTTGAAAAACAGTCTGTCACATGAAAATGTTTACTTCATTTGTGCAAATTACAATGTAAATGGAATTCCATGTGAACTTTATAAAATTGTGATGCATTAACTTGTCAAGATTGCACATAGTGAGAGTAGGGGCATGAGGTGTTTACATATCTTGTAAGCAGTGAATAGGATAACAGGATTCACATTAACTCGCTATAGTGACTCATATTTTCTTGGAGGGACTCATATTTGCAAAACATTCAAGTCCATGGGACTCATGGACAACCACCTGAGCATGTTCCCACTGAGCTGAAGCTAGGTGCCAGGACTCAAGATTTAAAAAAGCTAGTGTGAACCCTGGGATAGTATGAAATCACTGGTTGCCTATTAAGAGCACATTATTCAACTTAATATTTCATATCCCTGTTGCAAACCCAGTGAATTCAGGATTGAAGTGGTGGAGGTTTTCCTGCTCTCCAAAGGGTGATTATTAGGGTTATTAAGGTGCGATTAGGTACAAGTCTGTGGTTTCATGCTGCTGTGGTTCAGTAGTCCAGGATCAGTCTAGCATGTGAGAGTAGATCCAGGCTGGAATTCTACTGGCACTGGGTGGTATTCTCATTTGTTTGCCTCCTTAGCCATATCTTAACTTAATGCATGCCTCAGCCGGATACAGGAAGCTGATGCATGTATCCCAATTAGCCTGCATTGATCTAATACACTAACTGCAACTTGAATGAACCTATGGTATGTTGAGATGAAAGGGAGAGGGGATGGAGAACCATTCATATATGTATTCTCAAGTAGCATACTGCTCATTCTATCCATATTGCAGGCGATCAGTGAGGGTGGCATTTGAAGTAGATGAAGAGTACCAAGAAGAACTTCTTGACTTCCAGCTGGAGCTACTCTGTTCTGATTGTGATCTCACTTGTGGAGATCCTAGTTCCTGCCAAGTTATCACTCAAGAAGTGAATCTTAATCAGGTATGACCTGGTCTGGAGTCACTCCTTTATGCAAGTTATGTTTTCATCTGATGCTGATATTGCCACATGCTTTATCTTCTTCCTTTGCAGAAGACTGAACATGTTTTCACAGATGTTACAGGGACTTACTGCTGTGCCATGGTGAGGAACATTTTCTCATGTCAGACACTTTAGATAACCAGTAAATTTTGTACATAAATATCAAAAGTTCAGTGATTCACACACTTGCTACTAGCTTCAGAATCTCCCAGCCAACAATAGTTTTGTATTTTTAGTTTTATTACTTTTTTCGAATGCAAATTTTGCCTTTTTTTAATACTCAACCTGGGTCCAAGTGTGTATTTGGCACTGCAGTGGATTCTGCTTTATTAGGCCATCAGTTAATGGGGCAGCCAGTTTATTGGGACATTTTGCCTAGAACTGGACCATTTCTCTGCAAGTGAAATTATATTTTACCATATGTTTGGGATAAAAATCCACTTTATTGGTGAATTTAAACTGTTGGTCCTGCATGGGTGTTTTCGCTCTTTCTCTTGTACCTCTATGCTGTACACTTTGTGGCTAAAAACCAGTGGGCTGTCAAGGTGGAGACCATTGCTATATGCTTCAGTAAAACTGGTTTTCATCCTGGACCAGAGGTAACAACATCGACCTGTGTGGAGGGTCTGACCATTCTTGGTCACTAATGGAGAAGCCTTTGTCAATATCAACGAAAATGCACTGTACTTCGCCAAGCACCAAGACTTTGTGGATGATATAGTCAAGGACATTGTTACCAAGAGGCCTCACTTAGGGAATGATGTAGGCAAGGAGCCTAAGACTTTAACTAAGGTGACTCACATAGAGGCCAGGTGCTTGGTGGACTTAGCTGCATTGCTGATTTTTGTTGTATCCTTGGGGTAACAAAGAATGTACTGTCACTGCCATCTTTCTGCACTCATAAGATGTCAGATAATGTCACAGGTTTTAAGCAGTGAAGAGCGGTAGGCATCGCTGTGATTAAGGAGACATATCAATCTCTCTGGACTCTGAACAAATGCTTGGGCCAATGGCACATTTGTTTTTTTTCGTGGTTACTGTAGTAGATCTCCTGCTTCATGGTGCATGAATTACAGAATCAGTCTCATGAAATTAGTCAGGTAATTGATAGATGAGTAAGCAGTTGATTGGATCAGTCTCAAAATATTCCCACTAAGCTCTACTCATCTTCTCAGCATTCTCTGTCTTCAAATGTCATCAGCACAAGAATTCTCTCTTCCTTTTTGCTTAGTTTTCTTGGCATGTTTATGCGATTATGTCGTTGATGTTAATGCATCAACCTTTACTCTGAGTTAAGTGTACCATGGTTGGTGGCACTCTGGATTGATAACAGATCTGGGAATTTACCTGTAAACCTGAAACCTTCCCAGAATCGGCATTGCGATATAGGGAATCTAATGGTGGTCTTTTTTCTAAAATTGATGCAGAACTCCTAGAGATATGGTTATCACTCAGGGATAAAAATGTAGAAAGTTTTACTATACAGTGAACTTAGTTGTGGCTTTTACAGTAAGAGTGACAACAGAGTTCGTCTTTGTTGCTGGACCTCCTCCTGTTTAGCATCTCTGAGTGTTTAAAGAGCGCATGGTCCATGAAGTAGAAAGTGGATTGCTCTCTACTTTGTTGACTATGAGGAAGGAAGTGTTTTGGCAGGCAGGACATCCTGGAACCATCTGAATGTGAAGCAGAGATGCTTGAGAAGGCAGAAAGGACACGAATATTGACTTGTTGCCTGAAGATACTTGCTAGTATCGTGGGACAAAGATGGAATGTGGAAGGTAGGGAAGGATGAGTAGCAAACTACCCTGGAAGCAGTGCAGATTGGCCCAGAGGTCTTTGTAAGTCTAAAGATCAAAGCACAGCCAGTCCAATAACTGTTGGTAGGCATGACCATGGTAGTAAGATGGGTCAACTTCCAGTCGGCATAAAAGTAGGGAGGACTGCTCAAAGCAGAGTGAACTATACACCAACAGCCTCCCTGGATCAAGCCCTTCAAGATTACATATGTTTCTCCACCTGTTCTGGACTTAAGAATTTGGCGAGGAGTGAGATTGCTACCAAAATTGGGGGGTTTTGGTACACTTGACTCAGAGAATAAATTTTATTATTATTAATAAATGACCAACTGCTTAGTGACTTTTGCCCCAACCTTTATATTCATCATTGAGTGGCCTTCAACTTATTTACTACTTAACATCAACTCTGATGTCATTCTAGCTTTCAACTTTACAGAATAGAACTCATGTGATTGGGTAACTGGGTAACTGATCACTCAGTGGTCGGATTACACTTAGCCACAATACCTAGCAGTGATAACAAACTAGAAAAATATATATTTATGAAATATGGAAATTTGTGGAAAATTTGGAAAATTGGTTTTTGTGAGATTTGGTCACATTTTCTGACTGATATCAATAACCAGTTATAAAAATAAGCAGCTTTGGTTTTAAGTAAGAAATATATTTTGCCCAAAATAGTGACTAACCGATACTTTGAACTATGTGAATTAGCTCTGTTGACAGTTTTAAATTTACATTTCTTTGTTTACATAACCAATGTGATTTTACTTTGACAGCATCTATCACATGAACAAACCTTCCAGCTGCATAATTCAGCATTAAGAGGTTAATTTGATGATTGCAGTACATTTATACTAAATGATAATTATATTCAGAGCAATATAGGGCTGCCTAGGAAATAATGCCTATGTCAGTCCAAAGTCATGTAGTTTATAGCTTCTACTGGCCCCCACTGAAAAAATGCAGTTTTTCAAATCAGTTGAAAGAAAGGCAAGGGGGTGAATGTTCTGGCATTGAGTTCTGGCTTGGTTAAAAGTTTAACCAAGTTGCACTTGTAATTCAGTGCAGAAAGTACAGGGTGGGCCTAAAAAACTTGGGTTATCTTTATCACCCCACAGCACCAGCCCCCAAGAGTTTGCTAAAGTTGCAATAGCATCTCCATATAGAACATTCATTCAGCTTTCCAATGAAGTCAACAGAATTAGATTCATGGCATAACTTTCATGCAATTAGAGAGAGTATCAGAAGTGGCACTGGAGAAGTGAACAACATCCTGGCAAGATTGCAAAGGAATGGATGTCACCTGGAGTACATCTTATAGGGTACTGGTAGGTACACTTTCAATCACTACTTCTGCTACACTGTTTGTAACTGCATCAGAATGACAGAATGGATCTTAAATCTTTTGACATCAATGGAAATTGGGTAAATGATCTATATAGAGATGCTGTTGGGTCATTCCACATCAGATCGACCAGAGATTTTGGTCGACCAGGGATTTGTCTGAAATTTGGTGAGGAGGTAGTGTTTGGCCCAAAATTGTGGAAAATCCAAAAAAAAAAAATTTTTTCTGACTGAAGGTGTGTCCATGGTGAGGTCACAAAATGTTGACCTATTTTAGCTGGTCAGGCTGACCTCTATCAGTCTTTTTTTGATAACTCCTTAGCTATTTGTCATAGAAAATTTCATTTAGGACTCCTTTCAAAGGTCTCTTTTAGCTCTATCTTGTGCATTTCATTTCAAGCTCATATGGTCAGGCTGACCTCTATCAGTCTTTCTTTGATAACTCCTTAGCTATTTGTCATAGAAAATTTCATTTAGGACTCCTTTCAAAGGTCTCTTTTAGCTCTATCTTGTGCATTTCATTTCAAGCTCATATTCATGTATACTCATTCGAAAAATAAAAAAAATAAAATGAGTTTGACCTTTGACCCTTCATAGAAAAAATACATAGTTTAAATTTCACAAAATTTACTGGGTAACACAAGAATAATATGGTAATGAAGCTCATAAATTTTCAAGAGGATGTTTTGCCCCAGTTTCAAGATATGTGTAAAATTGTGCTTTACATTTTCCATTTTCGGGTGCATCAATTTCAGAAAGCTCAGTATCAAATTGATTTGTTGCCCCAACATTATCAATGTGGCTGACTTGTGGTACAGGAATAGTTTGAATCAGCATTTCTGTGCCATTTTTTATTTTGAATTTTATGTTTCAATATACAATACAATGCAGCAAGAAATATGAAATTTAGAAATTGAGGTGAAATGATATAGGATTTTCTCGTATTTAATTTTTGCCATAGAACTGGTTTTGGTAGCAGAGTAGATTTGGATTTGAAGGTGGTTTGCATCAATAGGCACATATGAATAATGTTTCTGGGTGCTGGAATTGGTTGGACGGACTGGAATTGCTGCTGTTACCTCGACTTCCTCATTCCTTGCATACATGAACTGGATAATTTCATGCAGGCTTTTGTAAAGTAGAAAAGTTCCATTGCACTTAGGATGTGTCCTTCGTTTAGTTGCTGGATACTGGCCTTTGTGGCCAGACATTTCATAGTCCCACCAAGGCCATCACATGGACCTTTTCTATGACTTGTTACAAAGAAGTGCCACTGTGCGGCAATACCAAAGGCAGCCTCATGATGGCACAAGTTTGAGAAGTTCTTTTTTTTTTTATATTGAGCTCCATCAGAGAAGTAGAAGCTTCTCGATAGCCCATGGTCTTTATCCTTCAGGATTGGGATGAGGAGATTCTGAGAGTGGTATACAGCCTCTGTGTCATGGGCCAATGAATCTGAAATGATGCAGCAATTCAGGTGCAACAGTTCACCAAAATCCTTGTTTCAAAAATAGCAGTCACAAGAATGCATTGTTGCTTGGCTGTTGTTTCAATGAAATCCTTGTGCTTCATATTGCCCAGCAAATGCATTGTTTTCTAAGAAGTCGCCAAGGACAATTGCCTCCTCAGGTTTGAGCTCTTCCTTTGTCTTGGATAGATATGCAGCTTGTTCTCTTGCAGTGAAATCGTGGGTCTTCAGCTGTGTTAGCTTCAACAGCAACTTAGCCACAAACTACTGAAGAAACAACTGTCTCCAGATTTGCCTGATTAGTGGACACCTACTGTTTGTTGGTAATCGTGTCCATACCTTCTTCAAAGCTGGTCAGTAAGTCGGTTTGCAGTAATTCCATTCCTGGGCAGCTTTTGCATTGCCCCAAAAAGCAGGCTTCTATTGGCTGGTGACAATATTGGAGATCAGTTCTTTGTAGGTTCGCCTAATTCTTCCCCCATGTAACATCAAGTTGAAATTTTGGTGCATCATGCATATGCACA